AAGAAAGGTCAAAGAGTATTTTTTTTTATCCAGACTGTACATACATGGACATTTATGATTGGTCAAAACTATTAAAATATGCAATAAAAACAATGATATAATTAAGAATACATGCTAATTCATTAGAAACATCAATTAGTCAAATAGTTTGCTGAATTTGACACTAAAAAATAGGGAAACCCATCTTTAACGGCTCTTTGCGATAAACATTACATTACATGAACTGATCAAGGATAGCCTAAATATGATCGCCCTCGACCATGATCGTGATGGACAAAGCGACCAAAATCGTATTCTAGCGTAACAGAGCACATCAGTTGTTGATTAACGTATCTGTATGTACCAGATCTTTCAAGTTCAGGGAACCCAGTATTGTAGTGATGTCGGGTGGATTTCCAATCAGGGACTCGGGGCTCATATCGGATCGGATCTGAAAGGAATATCAGCCCATGACACATAGAATTGATAACAGAACAGCTCGAAAACGAACGCAAAATAAAAATGTTTCAGAAAATATCGACTCAAGTCGCAATCCTGAAAGTCCACGATCGGCTACGATGGCCAATCTTAATGTTCGAAACGGATCGCACGACAGTAGGAACCTAGCTCAAAACGTGATTTGTATACGCGGCCTTCCAACTTTAATGTGCCAGCTGTATTTTTTTTATTTATGAAATAATTTTTATATATCTCATTAGTAGGAAAATAAATCTCAACAGGTATGTAACATTTATTCACCAATATATGTTCACTCCCATCTTTTAACTTTCCACAAGGTAGCCTAAATACAACATTTAAATGTCTAAATATGTGTTTTTCGGCATAAGGAACTCAATAATATAGTTCTTGATAAATTTCGCAACATACAAGTAGCTAAAACCCAAATTGAGCCCTTCAAAATTACGGAGCCCCTTTCCGTCCTTTTATAAAATGTTTCGTTTTATCGCATTAGTTATTTCGCTATTACGAAATAACGAAATAGAAGTCAATACAAAATTTTCAAATTCAAGGACAAAAGATAAATTTTCGCTTATGTAAATTAGGACACGTGATAGACCTTTTTTTTAAGTTAAAAATCGCGATTTGACAGAAATGAGGTCGGATTGATAGTCACCTAGAGATACTCTTTGCTTCCTTGAATTTAAATAAGATTGAATCAATGTATAAGAGCTGTAATGGAATTTGTATAA